AATATATTAAAATTAATAAATGTTAATGTTTACTGAGCAGCAAGTAGGTTGTGTTTATTACTATAAAAGGAAAACCATCTCGCAATTAACACCGTACATGTAGCTTACAATGGAAAATTTTCTTTTGAGTCACAGCCCTCACCAAAGTAAGGCACCTTTCCTTCTTCCTTAACCATAATTGTATCTTCTGTTCTTCCTCTCTACCCTTAGGTTTGATGAATAGTCGTCACATTTTTGTGTTTTGTTTTATATGCATTACTTCTTGAACTTTAGGAAGCTAAAATTACTACTTAATGAGAAAGAGGTAGATAATTTTTCAGATGTGGGTTTAGGATTCTAGTATTCTGAGTTTCTGGAGCTCAGACATGCCACATATGCATTCTATTCCAGAAGCTCTAGCAGGGAATGACAGAATATGGAATTTCCTGGTGGTTGAAACCCCTCATGAAGAAACTGCTTTTAGTTTTAGACTACTACATACTTGATTTGCTTCTCTTTGCCTGTCTAAATAGGGATTTTTAATTTGGGTTTTAATTACTTCCTTGTCCTGAAAAATGGTTACATGTAATATGAAGCCCCTCTTAGTTTGATAACTTTCCTGCAGTTATAAGGTCAACAATGTTTTAGAAAGTGGATGAACAAATGAGTGAATAGCTAGACAGAGTCCCTTAAGGTATTTCTGTTGCATGCTCTATTGTTTACGATGAACCTTGTAATATCTAAGGTTTTGCCTCTTTTCAGCTACTTTTTTTTTCTTTTTAGCATAGTTTTTTTTTTTTTTTTTAGCATAGAGTCACGAACTCCTTGGTTCTTTCAAAGCTAAACTCTTAATTTCTTTTCTTAAAATGTTCCTTTTTACTAAAGTACTATATAACATTATATATTAAGTTTGGCAAATGTTAATGCTCCTTCTCAATTAGGTGAGGTGTATTCCTGAGAAGGTACCAATTTGAATTGAGTATGTTTGAATTTAGTATGTGAACTAAACTGTAAGTTTTTAAAGCTTACCCATCCATCATATGGGTGATGGAGTGCCAACTGGTTTTATATGTAAGTGTTTTGTTTTGTTTTTCTAGCAATATTTAAACATTAGAAAATGATTTCCTATTCTAACAGAGAGAAATTCATATTAATTTACTTACAGGACCCCCTTGTCAGTTATTTAGGCTGCCTAGAATTTAAATTGGCAGATACTACTTTGATATAAAATGCCTTCTATTGACAATATTAATATTTTAAAATCTGTTTTACTCCTGCAGATTTCCAGTAGACAGGAAGCCTAGTTCTGTTTACCCTTTGGCTACTAATGAATGCTACTGAATTATTACTTTTCATCTTTAGGTAGAGGTACCACAGGTATGAGATCAGAATTGCCAGGTAAGGCAAGCATTTAATTTTAAAATTTGAAAACTAATCCATGCAAAGGTGACAACTAAAGTGTAGGTACTAGAAAGAATTTTGGACTTCAGTAAGAAAATCTTGGTTGTATTCCTACCCTTGCCATTAACTTAGTTGGGTCACCTTGAGCAAGTCACTGCCCAACTCCAGATTGCAATATTCTCTCTAAAAGCACAATTTCAGCATAGCATATTCTAAAGAGAGCTTGGTTAAGGAAAGCTGAATCTTGTTGTTTATCAGCTCTCCACACCAGCCTGGCAGCTCTGAGGTCAGTCTCCAGCTGCATTTTCATCTTTTTGTAATCCCTTAAATCCTTGCTAGGCTTTCATTCCTAGTTAATTTCCCTAGAAATTTACATTTAGAGACACTGAGGGCTTCCTGCATTTGGAATTTTTCTGTGTTTATAAGTTTAATGAAAAAATACTTAGAGCTGGCTAAAAAATACAAGAGTCAAAAGTCTTGTTTAAATGTCTCTGTAAAAATCAAACTATTTCCATCATGACTAATATACCTTTACTCGTTCAGAGCTTTGAAATCAGTATCTTTGAATCTTGACATGATGAGGCACTATTGTCATTTTATCCCATTAATTGTTCTACCATTTTCCCACTAACTCCTTGTTCTAAACATTCTTTTTTTTTTCTTAAGCCTAGAATGATTGAACAACAAGGCTCCATGTCACAAGAAAAGCATTGTAGCCTGATCCTCACTTATATTTTAAGTATTTGAAAATTTCATTGATATGAAATAGTTTGAATTGCACTGAGTTAAACTTATCTTTAATTGGTCTGCTAGGAAACTAAACAAAATGATAACTTGCCTCAAAATATTGAGAAATTAACTGTATAGCTACTTCAGCATGTGTATTTTTTAAATGAAAAAGCCAGAGCTAGGTACTAAAAGTGCTTCATTAAAGGAGGTCTAGCACTGTATTCAAAAGGTCAAATAACAAACATTGGTAAGGACGTGGAGAAACTGGAATTCATACATTGCTGCTGGGAAAGTAGAATCGTGCAGCCATTGTGAGAAATAGTTTGTTGGTTCCTCAAAAAGTTAAAGGTAGAATTACCTTTATGATCCAGCAGTTCCACTGTTAGCTATCTACCCAAGAGAAATGAAAACATATACCCACATTAAAACTTATACATCAGTGTCCCTAGGAGCATTATTCATAATAGCCAAAAAGTGCAAATAGCCCAAATGTCCATCAACCCACGAATAGGTAACAAAACTACAAGGAAATATTCTTAGGCAATGAAAAGAATGAAGTACTGATACATGCTACAACATGGATGAAATATCTAAAATATGCTGAGTGAAAGAAGCCAGACACTAAAGGTAATATATTGTATGATTTCATTAATACAGAATGTCCAGAATAGGCAAATCCATGGAAACAAAGTAGATTAATGGTTTCCAGGAGCTGGGAGTGGTGCTAATACGCAGTGACTGCTATTGGGTATACAGATTCTTTCAAGGATAATGAAAATGTCCTAATATTGAGTAATGGTGATGGTTGTACAACTGTGAATATACTAAAAGGCATGGGTGAATTTTGTCGTATGTGAATTATATCTCAATAAAACTGTTATGGATTAAAAACATTAGTGTTGTATTACTGTAACTATTTGAAATTATAAAAGTATATTTAAATTACATTTTATACCAGGACTAGGGGAGGGGGGAATGGGGAGTTAGTATTTGATGGGTACAGAGTTTCAGTTTGGAAAGATGAAAAAGATCTGGAGATGGAAGGTAGCGATAGATGCACTACAAATATATTTAATTTTACAGAACTATATACTTACCAATGATTAAAATACTAATTTTATGTATATTTTACCATAATAAAAATCCATAACTCCCTAAAATTACATTTTATATTATTATAATGAATAACGTGTCTTTTCCTCTCTTTTTCTTCTTTTAACAGTAAAACTGAAAATGTGATTGGCCTTTTGTTTTTTATGCATACAATTCTTCTGGTCTGTGTTTTAGAACTTTCCTGTATGTGGAGGGGGTGGTGGAATATATACACACATGTCTTTATCTTGGATTTGAATGAAAACTTGGAAGTATTTTTTAAAACTTTTGTCAGTAGAAAAATGAAAGAAGCCAAACCATAGGGAGTTTACGTCATTAAATTACAAAATAGTGAAATGCTGTTTTCAGAGTATGAATTATCACAGATTTCCTGATTTTCTTGGTTAATATTGGCTTCTTGAGTGGGAAAAACATTTATACTTTTATACATGTATAACATCTCTATATCGTCCTATAAGCATTTTCCTTTGTATAGCAGGATAAAATGAGCACCCAAGTGCATTGCAAATATACAAACGCAGTGAGTGAGCTTCAAAATGCAAACAAAGAGATGGGAAAATGAAAAAAAGAAAATTCAGCAATGAGAAAATCACTGGAAAATGAATTAGATTATTTTCAAGGCTATGGAACTGTGTTATGACCCAAGCAGTTTGTAGAGTCTGAGTTTGTAACCTCTGAGGATTAATCTGTGAAAGTATTTCTAAGCCTGGCTACTATCTAGGACATTTGAAGATGGATATCATGAATGCCAGTAGTGCCATTAATATAGTAGGCAATCAGAGGTATGTTTGTTTTTCTTGATGAGGAAGTGGTTTCTTTTAAAAGTACAAGGAACTCTGTGTGTGTGTGTGTGTGTGTGTGTGTGTATGTGTGTGTAGTTTCTGTTCCACTGTAGGAAGAATTATGGTTTTTCCACATTTTACAGTGGGGTTTTTCTAGAGTTTGGCACTATGATATACTATACCTGATTATAGGATCCAATCAGAGTTGATGCACTCAGAAGTTCATTGACGTGATTAATGGTCTCCTAATCATACTTTTATTTCCTAGATTAGCCCTATTTCCTGTCGTTCCACAATTTTTGAGTCATATGTTAAATTATCCTTTATAGGGGGCCTGAAATTCTTATTTTTAGTCTATAATTTGCATGATTATTTCCATTTTCTTTGTTTTTTTTTTCTTGAAGAAAATGAAATTTTCATCTTCCTTTGAATTCTTTGAGTGCTGTTCTATGGTGACTGGCTTACCTAGTGTAATCTTTTTAAAAACAATATTTGTGTGTTTGTGTGTGTATGTGTTTGTGTGTGTGTGTGTTTGCACTTATATGTATATGTAAACACACACACACATACACACACACACACATACATATATATAATTTATTTTTACTGCCACCAGCACTGGATTCTGAAATCTTCCTACAAGTTTCCACTAGCCTAGTTTTTATTCTTCTCAAAAGCAAAATAAAACATTCTTATATTCCACAAGTAGCAGGGAAAGACACCAGGAAATGGCTGTACAGGAAATGTAATTGATCATTCACTCTTTACAATTGAAGCGGTCACAAGATTGGCTAGCAAACACAATCTATTTAATGAAAAACCAAAGGTGACTTCTAAAATCTTTGGGGACTTTGAATACATTTGAAGCTTATTGATACCTTTGACATTTTACTGATTCTTTTTGAAACTCTTACCTTTTTCAAGTAATTGTTTGCATTTGAAATTTGGAACTTTTATATCCAGTGATTGCTTTAATATTTGCTTTGTTTTTAACAGTGCCCTTAAAGATAGCCGTTTTCCCCCAATGACAAGGGATGAGCTGCCACGGCTTTTCTGCTCAGTGTCTCTGCTCACTAACTTTGAAGATGTCTGTGATTATTTGGACTGGGAGGTAAGATTATAGAAAAATTTTTAAAGAACAGTGAAGGTAACTCTTGAGTAGATGTTAAAAATTAGGCCCAGAAAATAACTCTTTCAGCCCATTCTCTGTTGTAATGGAGGTCAAGAGTAATATGGATAAATAAACCTCACAATTGAAATATAAGTAAATGAGTTTTTAAAGGACAAAGTGTCACGTGTTGTTATAATCCCCAGACTGAATCTGGTTTTCATTTTTATCCTACTACCTCATCAAAGCACCTCATAAAAGCTGCTGATAAGTAGTAAGAAGGACTGATTGGAATTTATTTCTCCTCTTATTTTCATTTTGGTGTACTCCGGTATAACCGCCACCAACTATACAACTAGTTGATCAGAGGATACATCTTAGAAACCACTCTTATTTTCATTTTGGTGCACTCTGGTATAACCACCACCAACTATGTAACTAGTTGGTCAGAGGATACATCTCAGAAACAAGAAGAAATAGTTAGTTAGGATAATATACCATTTGGCAGAATCAGCTTGTGATAGTAACAAGGTACTGATTAACTAGAGTTAAATAATGTGAATTCATTCTTGGCTACATTAATTTATACATTTAAACACCCTAACAAATAAGGTTATATCTAGGGTATCTCTGTGTATTGCTATTATTAGAGTAGCTTATAATGATCATAATTGTATTCTTCTTTAGCATGTGGGGTTGGCTAACATTGTTAGTGAAGTTCAGAGATTCTCATCATGATTTGTTTTGGTGGCTGGGAGGAGATGTTGAGTGTGGGTCTATGGGTCTATGAAATTTTAACACAAGAACGCCCATATTACTGAATGCCTGTTGTATTCCAGGCAATGTGCTACATATACAAAAGTGGTAAGATTCGGTTCCCACCATGAAGCATCTCACAATTTAGTAGCAGAGTAAATGTGTATAGAAAGTATGAAGACATAAGTGCTATGAGAATGAAACAATAGGAACTCAGTGATACATACAGCATTCTGTCTCACATACACTCATAAATGGCATTATTGTATCCTTATGACAGATTTTAATTCTACTGCTGTTTTAGATGACCATCCCCCATAGTGACTAAACTGTTCTGCCTTGGGGATAGATCACTCTCTTCACAGTTTATTAGACTTGAATTTAATTTTGGATTTGCCCTGATTCCTTGTGAGACTTTGAACAATTTACTTACTCCACTGCAATTCCGTTTTCTAATATACAGAATAAGACATAATGTTCTTCATTTGAAAAAAAAATCTCTATGATATAAATTATTGTTGTTATACCAGAGCTATTTAAAAATTTTGGGGGAGTATCATTAAAAAAATCTTTTCTACAGAGAGTAGAATGCAAGAGTCCCCTCTGGGTTTTGTGATAAGATTTTCTGGAGTATTATCAGAATATGAACACATCTTATGATTTTTGCAAAAGAAGAAATAAAATAAATTTATACTGTTGTTCCCAGCAAAGTTAGAATGTGGAAAACCTTTTGTAAACTTGGAATTTCTAAGTTATTATTTCTATAAGTTTGTTGCTCTTATTTGATTTTTCTTAAAGAGAAGTCTACATATATTATAGAAATATTCCCTAGTACTTTATTTTTAAGTGGTCCCAAATCATGTTCCTTACTTATTAACATATTTTATAATTTGGATGGTTCTTTTACTGCTTTAAGGCAGCTGTTTCTTCTTCCGCAGCCAGATTTACTTTTGCTTTCTGGATTGCAGGGTGTTGTGTATGTAGTAGTGGGGGTGGGAGTGATTATATGGGAAAAGCCTGAGATCTAAGGGGGATGAGCAAGCTGCAAGAACACTTCTACTCTTGCAGCTACTGAGTTGGAAGTACAGTTCTGGCATGTGTGTTTCTGTGTGTGTGCATGTGTGTATGTCACAAACATGAACGTACTAGTATTACATAAATGTGTGTCCATGTGTTTTGGGGGAAGGAAAAAGGAAAGAATCCAACAGCTGTTACATAGGGATGGTTAAGCACCGAGTACACCATCATCATCTTTAGCCCACTTGAATCACCGTCTGTAGCTAAAATTAACCTTGATATTATTGGGCTATTATATCCATAAGATATGTCAGCTTTTTGTTTGTTAGAAGAGTGGGAAAGTAGTACTGTGTACTCTACTATATACTTAAGAAGTAGTACTGTGTATTCTACTGTATACTCTTTCAAGGCATATTTATCCTCTTTTGTCACCAGCTACTAGCCTGAATTTCTAGAAGATTCTATATTGTTCCTACTTGGCATTGTGTATTTAATATATTTTAGGGAATTAAATATTAATTTCTATTAAGTATTACTTTCCTGTTGAAGCAAAAAAATATACATTTTTGTACTTTTAATATACAAGCACTTGAAAGTGAATTAGTTATTGTTAGAATGACTATGCTAAGAGGAAAAGCTTGTCCTTTTCAGTTAGTTCATCATTGTTTCAAGTATTTGGCAGAAGACAAATTTGGGTACAAAGAGTAAAGGTAGAAATTATATTTTTAAGAACAATAATGGGATTTGGTCTTAAAACAAATGTACCTTACTCAGTGATTGAAAATGGAGTAATAGTATGGTAGGGATGATATTCTGAGGGCTATCCCTAACGATTCTGAAAAAACATTACTACTTTAGACACAGAATGCCAAAACAGAATTAAAGGCATTAAAAATTATATGTTGACACAATTTCACTTCTAGGTATATACCCAAAAGAATTGAAAAGAAGTGTTGAAACAAAAAATTGTACATGAATGTTCATACTGGTACTGTTCATAATAGCCACAAGGTAGAAACAACCCAAATGTTTATCAACAAATGAATGGATGAATAGAATGTGGTATATTCATGCAATTATTACTCAGCCATAAAAAGAAATGAACTACATGCTGCAACATGAATGAACCATGAACACATTATGCTAACTGAAAGAAGTGAAACATAGCCACATTCAGTATGATTCCATTTATTTGAGATATCCAGAATGAGCAAATCCATAGAGATAGAAAGCAGATTGTTGCTAGGGGCAAGGGTGAGGGGTAAATGGGAAGTGACTACTTAATGGGTACAGTGTTGCCTTTTGGAGTGATGGGAAAGTTCTGGAACTAGATAGTGGTGGTGGTTGTACAACATGGTGAATGTATTTAATACCACTGAATTGTACGCTTTAAAATTGTTAAAATTGCAAATTTTATGTTATGTGTATTTTACTACAATAAAAATGGAAAATAAACTTCATATACTCTATTCTTATTAGTAATTTTAATTTATCAAAGAAGAAAATTTTTTTAATTAAAAAATATAGTGAGAGAAATGTAAGTCATTTATAATTACATCATTCTGAGAATAACTACTGTTAACATTTTGGAATATTTCTTTCCATTATCTTTTTTATACTAAGTCTTTTAAAAATGTTTTTCCCATTCTTTATCTGTCTTTGTATCAATAAATCTGCATATTTGGTTACATAACTGAAATCATATTGAATATACAATTATTATTTAAAAGATTGAGGAGAAGTCTTTGTTTATGGTTTATCTTTGTGTAAGTTAATTATATTTTGAATTTCCTTTTTGAGAAGCCAGTGTATCTTATGAAAGTATATGCTTCACAAGAAATTTCACACTAATAGCTACAACTTCTCATCCAACAATTAAATATCCTATTCACCATAAGTATGCAATTTTAACCTGAAATGTGAAGTCCTGTGTATGTTTATGCCACAGAGGAAAACAAGGAGATTGATTATTATGGAATTATAATACAGAATTTTAAAGTCAAAGATAGATAATGAGCATGTTTTATACAAACAGAAGCTTCTAACATAGCACTTTTCTGGTGGAAGTCCAGTTTGAGGGTTGACCCCCACTGGTTACTGCAGTGGAATTCCTAATTAAATGGATGAAAATTCCCAGATCAAAGCAGGAAGAGGGCAAAGTCTAGAAGCCCCAAAGCACAGAGGTACATACCTTCACTGACAAGACAAACATCCCTGTGGTCATGAGGATGAGGAATGTGACCATGACCAGTGGTAATAGCTACCTGATTTTCAGATGATCAGGAAACAAATGAATTGCCATGAATCTGGCTACCATCTTACTGTCTTTTTCACTCAGGGTTTTTAACTCAGTCTATTTGGGAACTTTCTTTTGATAACATGTCTCTAATTTTATATTGATAGTTATTAGGAAAGTAGGATTTACTTTAGCGCTTGTTTTAGGAGCTAGAGTGCTTCTGTTTGATAATGTGAGGGATGTTTGATAAATGGGTTTACAAGTAGATGTAATTAATTTCAAGTCAATATTGAATTGATAGACTGATCAACAATGCTTCCTTATGTTGTATTTCCTCAGAATCGTAATTATAACATTTAAAGTAAGTGTTTATAGGCAGCCTCTGGAGGAATCTGGGTATTCATTAAAAATAACAGCCATCCACAAAAGGTAGTAAGGACATATTAGAGCAGTGGCCACACCCTTCCAAGAATCACTGATCACTGCCCACATCATGATCTACTTATTGCCCTAGTAGGTATGAGAAGGATGAAGAGTTAATAATTTTGGGAGAAATTTCATTAACTGATAAATTGGAATATCTACCTGCAAGGCTAAGATGGTTGTTAAATAAGGAAAATTGCTTCCCTAGAGAAATCTGACATGATATGCCTTGTGTTTGAACACAGAAACTCATCACCATTGTTCTGTGTTCTTCAGTTGACAGCATTCTCTTAAATCTGAATGACAGGGTGATTGACAGACATGGTGCTTTATAAAGAAAGAAAAACTCGTGTAGCATGTTGGAGCCTGCCAAAATGACATAGCCTGGAACTTGGAGAGTTAAACTTTTAGGAGCCATGTTTCCTTTTTAAAAATCTGAAAGGTTATAAAACCAGACATTACAATGGACTGGAGCTTGACTTGAGGGCTGATTCTATGTGTGTCACCTCATAGCTGCTCATTTTCAGGATGATGTAAATGAATAAATGTTTTGTTTGTAGAAGAATTTGTA